CGAATTTTTCAATTGCATTACCATATTTTTCATTGGCTCTTTTTTAATTAAATTTTGAAAAGAGAACTTCTGCCATTGTAAAAATATATTGAGGTGTCAAGTCAAATTATGGGGTGGTAGATAAAATCTCATTATTGCCCAATCTCTAAAACCCAATAATCACATATTAGAAGGCCCCTAATGAGAAGGCCCGGATTTGACTAAATAGATAGAGTGCAAATATACTAACCACCTCTACACCTAGATCCCACATTCGCACGAATTATATGAATTTCAAAGATATTTTTTCTTTAAAAATTTCAATCATTCACATTTGAAATCATGATTTAAAAGAAGAAAGAAGATTATTCATCTTTTATTCACCAAAGCTAAAGAGTCTGTTAAATATTAACAAGTGTGAGTAGTGTGGATAATAGTCTCACATTGAATAGAAATGTGGTGACTTGAGCATTTATAAATGAGAGAACCCATACACCTATCACCTTAAGGTTTTGGGTGAGTATGTGGTGTGTCTCTCACAAAGGTTGCTCTAGAAAAAAGTTCCACTATGTTCAATGCTCCCTAGTTGAAAGTCCAACGGTGGTATCATAAACAAAAAATATATTGTAAATCATTTTCATTGTTACGTGGTAAAAACAATCAGAATCAAAAATATAGTATTTATGTATTTATCGGATGAAACACACAGTATATTTATTTTATTAGTAGAATCATCAATTAAATTATGATCAAATAAAGTCTGAAAATTAATGTCTTAGTTAAATTGCGATGTAATATAATCTCACTTATTTTGACATTGTTAAACTTTATTTAATATATATATAAGATCTCGAAAAACTTAAAACAACTTTGCCTAAAAATTGTGATAAATTTGTTTGAAATAAAGATGTAATTAAAACACTTATTTATTTATTTATTTTTTAATCAAAAATTTTCATTAATCAAAGTCAGAAATAATACAAGGCGATTGAAATCCAGCCCATACCAAGAAATAACTTACGGTACCATCAAAAGAGTTATATGTGGTCTGAGCTTAGGACTCGACCACCCTCTATAAACCATGTTGTTAATGATTATATCTGTACAATTCCTATTGTCATTTTTTTGATTAAAACAAGTGTCATTTCTAAAGCTCCACAGCTCATGTAGAGTTTCAGTCAGAGCTAATCTAACAAGATCAGCTTTCCAACCTTTACTTCCATAACAATTCAAAATCCAGTTTTTCTCCTCATTCCAATTCCCGGGAGTGTGAGGGATACCAATCCATAGAAGCGTTTCAACCCAAGCCTGCCTCAAAATAGTACACTCAAAAAATAGGTGGTCAATGGTTTCCACCGCAGAGCAAAAAACACATTTGTTATTATTCACCATACCAAACCGATTCAATCTGGCTTTTGTTGGCTAGCTTCCCATGACAGATCATCCAGAGAGTATATATTGCACGAGGTCTAGCTCTATTGTGGAGAATTAGCTTGGCCCAGACAACATTAGGTGTGGCAGGTAACAAGTTCACATACACTCTCCTACCAATGAATCTCCCTGCTTGCACCATCTCACTCCAAGCATCCTGCATATTTCCTATATTTTCCCTCTGCAGAAGAATAGTTTTAAAAATATTTGAATATGAATTCTTAACCATTCTATTCATAACATCCTCATTCTTCAGGTAATAGGCGTGTATCCACCGAACCCATAGATCATCAGTTTTCATGCATATATTCCAGAGTAACTTCATCATAAACATGCTATTCCATGCCACTAAATCAAACACATTCAACCCTCCTTTTACAGCAGGTTTACAAACCTTATCCCAGGCAATCAGACTCTTCCTACTTATAGTGCTTCCTCCTGTCCAGAGAAAAGATCTGCAAATGGCATTGATTTTGCTAATCACAGTTTTAGGGAAACAAATACATTGCATCCAATACGAAGTAATAGCATACAATACAGTTTTAATCAACTGTAATCTACCGGCATAGCTAAGAAGTCGAGAGCTCCAATGAGTTATCCTACTCAACAGTTTATCCACCAACGGCATATAATGAACCACAGACAGCTTTTTACTACTCACTGGGACTCCAAGATATCTAAATGGGAGAGTCCCCTCATTGTAAGCAGTAAAATTCAGAATTGAGTGCTTAACAGGATCTGAGACACTACCAAAATACACTTTACTCTTGGTAGGGTTAATTTTCATACCTGTTGAATCCAAGAAACTAATGATGGTGCGCTGCAGAATTTCCATGGAGCCTTTGTCCCCTCTAGAGAACAGCAGGAGATCATCAGCAAATGTAAGATGGGTGAGCTGCAACTTTTCACATCTGGAATGGTGATTGAAATCCGGATTTTTTTGCATTCTGACCAGCATCCTGCTAAGGTACTCCATAATAATCACAAACAGAAAGGGGGGACAAAGGATCCCCTTGTCTAATACCCCTTTTTGCTTCAACCTTGTCAGTGTAGTTGCCATTTATATTGAATCTATAAGAGACTGTGGTAACAGCAGTCATAATCCAATCAACAAACCTCTTTGGCAGCCCTATCTCATTGAGGATATTTCCAAGAGCACCCCAATCAACCATGTCATAAGCTTTTTGAATGTCAAGCTGGACCATGCATCTTGGCGTACCATTTTTCCTATTGTAACCTTTTAACAATTCCCTAGCCAATAAAATGTGAGAGTGAATATTCTGACCTGGTACAAATGCTGCCTGAGCTTTACTGATTATAGACCCCAAAACTCTCCCAAGTCTCGCAGATAGGATCTTGGATATGATTTTATAAACCGTTGTGCATCCTGCAATAGGCCTATACTCTTTTATCATTTTTACAGCAGGATGTTTAGGGATCAAAGTAACAATTGTTTCATTAAATCTTTTGTACAGCACATTTTTCTCGAAGAATTCCTGGACAGCTTCAACAACATCTTGCTCTATGATCTCCCAACTAGCCTTAAAAAATTTTCCACCATACCCATCAATACCAGGGCTCTTTAGGTCCCCAATCCCTTTAATAGCAGTACAGATTTCAGCAACAGTAACAGGGGTAATAAGTTCAGCTCTCTGCATCATAGTTAACTGGGGTCCCTCCCTCATAGCATTGATATCAATCATACTCACCCTATGTTCTTTAGTCCCATACAGATTACCATAAAAGTCACAAACCTCTCTTTCAATGTCAGGAATATTCTGAATATAAGTGCCATCCTCCTTTTGAAGTTGACTGAGGTGAGTAACTGTATTTCTAGAGTTGAGGTAGGCATAGAAGAAAGCTGAATTTGTGTCACCTTCTCTAAGCCAATCCAGTTTTGATCTCTGTCTAAGCATTTTAACATTTAGGTCCTGCAGGTAGATCACTTCATCAGTAAACTTTCTCACCTTTTCAATGCTCCCTACATTCATTCTGTCCACCAATAACTCTTCCTGCGCTTTGAGAAGCTCAGTCCTGGCTTTTATAATGGACATATGGAGATGAGAGAACTGCTTGCTCAATTTGATAAGAGGAGCCTGCAACCTCAGAAGCTTGTACCACAACCGAGCCATAGGTCTTCCCACACACACTTTATGCCAACTCTGCTTTACAATGTCCTGATACCTAGCCACCTTTATCACACTATTAGTAAACTTGAAGTTGGTGTGTACAATCCTGTTTCTTTTCTGGTTAGACAAACAAAAGTAAGCAGTGATCAGAAATACTAGGTGGGAGAATCTCTAGATTCACATCAGTGTTTTCCTGCAGCCATTCAATGTTACCAAGCACATGAGCAATTTTTGAGTATATAGTACCTACAGAATGTTTATTTGTCCAGGTAAAATAATCACATGTGTTGTCTTTCTCAAAAAGCCCAACATGATCCATCAAGTTTCTTAGATCAACATATTCTCTCTCAGTCACCAAGTTTCCCCCAATCCTATCCATGGACTTTGTCACGTTGTTAAAATCACCCATAAGGAACCAAGGCCCTTGTTGGTTGTTATGTATGTACACCAGATCCTCCCATAATTTCCTTCTTTGGTCCAGCTGATTCATAGCATAAATGGCTGTCAACCAGTTTTGGAAGTTACCATTGATATCATATATTCCATAGTGTATCATCTGAGATGTGCAACTCACCACTCTGATGTCCTTGTAACTATCATCCCAAAAAATCCAAATCCTGCCATTGTAATGAGCTTGGTAGTTATCAATATATTTACCTCTGAGGTTAAGACAGTCTCTAACTTTCTTTGTTTTATCACATTTAACTCTAGTTTCTAGTAGTATTGCAATTTTGGGATGAAGGTTTAGGAGACGGGAGCTAGTCTCCTTTAGCTTCCCCATTTTATTCAACCCCCTGAGATTCCAAGAGACAATCATTGGCCTGTGTTTTGAGCCTCTATGAGATCCTTCAAAATCTCTAGAGCATCAAACCCATTATCATACGAAAGCACACCTGCAGCACCAGCATTACCTGTCTTTTTTGCTCTATCTCTACCACTTTTAATAACCTCAGTCCATTTTTCCATAATTGTTTCCACATCCTTGTTTCTGATAGAAAGACTCTCATCAGCAGTAGTACTAGCATTACCCTTCCTGATCTGAACTATATCCATATTGACATTTCCTACTTCAATAGGCCCTTGATTATCATCCTCAGCCTTGTTTGACATCACATTAGCTTCAAGTTGCTTCACATTCCTAGGTATCCATTGTTTCCTCATCTTAGGCTTATCACAGCAATGACCTACCTTTTGACATTTGTTGCAGAATAAAGGTCTCCACTCATACTCAATTGATTGTTGCATCTTTTCTCCTTCATGATCAGCAATGGTGATTGATTGAGGAAGCTCCTTTGTAATATCCATTTCAACAAGAATGCGCGCATAGGATACTCACAGTCTATTAGCAGTACATTCATTTGTCATAATAGGCTTACCCAGGGCACTCCCAATCTTATTCAGGCTAGTATCACCCCACAAAACGATAGGGAGTTGGGGAAGTTTTACCCAAATAGGTAGGGTTCACAATAGCTCATCCTTGATCTTGAAATCTGGTCTCCATTCACGAATCAACAAAGGAATGTTTCTTAACATGTACGGTCCTCTCAGCAAAACTTCGTCTCGATCTGTGAATGATTTGAACCGGAGAATGAAATACCCTTCATCATTGAAATACATGTCCGGCAGTTGAACAAAGTTCCAAGATCTGGTCATAAAATTCTTGACAGCATTCATACTCAAATCCGCTCCCATTGCATAAAGAACCAGAGAAGATTCCCAGAACTTGACTTCAGAACTGACATCATCTTCTTCAATTAGAACCTCTATTTTCCCATCCACGACTTGAGGGGGTATGAACTTCATAGCACAACCTTTCGCCGGATTCCTATTATCCTTTAACACATCAGCCCATAGCTTCCGCCCTTCTTCAGGAGTTGCAGTTTGATTAGGTTTTTCCAGGTCTACTTCTTTGCGCTTTTCCTTAATACTTCCGTCTTCCCGAGCATCTGAGGTTTCTCCAAGGTCTTTGATTCCCCCAATTTCTGCTGTGTTGAGATTCTTGCTGACATTATGGCTTCGCGAGTTCGATTGAGTTACCGGAGTAGAGACCACCGGAGAAAATGGTGGTGGAGGCACCGATTTTTTTGGCGGCCGCCCTCGTCCCATTCCTCAATACTTCTTAATTGTAATACACCCATATTGACTTCTCATAAATCAACAAAACACGTCATGAATTTGCGAATATTTAATTGGTCAATTTGACGGATAATTATTATGTTCTAATCCTTTTCATTTGAAACAAATTATAGTTTCTTAATTATTTCCTTTGTTCCTTTTTAAATGTCTTTTTATTTTTTATTTTTTTACGCATATCAAAAAAACTAATCAATATTATTACTTATTTTCATACAATAACTATTCTTTTACTTATAATACTCTAAAATATTTATTCCATTCATTTTACTTTTTTTTTCTCTCTTTATAATAATTATTTATGAATAATTTTGACAAAAATGCATTTAATATTATCTAAACTTTACAAGTGACAATTAAAAAAAATAAAAAATTATCCAGAAAATAATACTTATAAAGAAACGAGAGATATACAACTTTCCCATAAAACATGACATATCGACCACTCAAAGTAATTTATAATCCTATAAATTTTGCATGAATGACTAAAAAAAGTTCAAACTTTTCAAAAATTTTACAAAAAATAAGATTTTCAAATCATAACTTTTCCTACAAGTTAAAGATCCAAATTATTTCCAAAGTTCTCATTTAACTTCTCCATAAACCAATGAACACTTTTAATAAGAACATCTCTGGCAAGTAAATAACTAGAAACTAATTATAACTCTATTAAACATGATTATTCCTTATCTATTATGAGGAATCCCAATTCACAATGAAGTATTCTCATTCATTCTAATGAATCAGTGTCTGAAGTTAAGATTTATAATAAAATTCGATTTATTATTCAAAAAAGTAAGTCTTTCACATTCTGAATCTCGATTTGATAATCATGCTCATAAGCTAAAAGTTAATCCAAACTAAGTCTAAGGTTAATTCAAATACCATCTTATCTACGTTGCATTCTCATAAACTATAAACACCAATATAAGGCATTAACACTGATGCAATCCAAAGTTTTCCATCTTTCTCTTCCACTTCACTGATAAACTTCAACGTCTTCCCTTCACAATCTTCCAAGACTTCTATTATTTCCCCTTCATCACTCAACTTTATAGCCGCAGCATGAGGCTTCTTCGCTACCGACGCATGCAACTGCTTGAAATTTCCAAGCTTTAACAATGCTTTACCAGCCCATAGATTGGAAGCAATCCACTTTGCAAAAGGAGTTTCTTTGGCATGTAAAGCTACCCAGAACTGCCCTTCTGAATTTCTCCTTATATTGTCCGGAAAACCTGGAACAACAGCAAAAGTATCGACTTGGCCAGCTTTAGGTCCGTGAAGCCAAAGCCTCAGAATCCTGTGAGTCGAGGTTTCAGCTACCAGAAGAAATGAACCATCTTTGCTTAAAGTTACACCGTTGGGAAAAGCAAGGTCGCGTAATAAGACCTTCACTTCTTTTGTCGACTTGTCGTATTTCATTAATCGCCCTGTCTTGTCTCCACTAAGAAGTATAAGCATAAATTGCCTGCAAATTTTATCATGCTCGACATTAGGACAACATAAGTATAAGCATAAGTGTAAGAATCACGTTTTGCACAAAAACAACTTATTAATCCTTTCATGCGTATTTCGTAAAAAAATCTTCGTACTCAATAGCAATGTTGTTTTACAAAATGCAGACAGATGATTATAGAGAGGGGGGTTAAGTTTAGTGGTGAACTTGCCTTCTCTGGTAGGTTGTACTTGAATCGGTGAAGTAAATCACATCTTCATCTTCACTGATGTCCATATCATTGGTGAAGCGAAAGGGCTGTCCTTCAGCTTCTGTTGCTACTTCGGTGGCCAGACCCCCTGCAGGTCCTACTACTTTGAGGCCAAGGTAGGAATCAGCAATGTACAGATCTCCATTTTTCTTATCAAACTTTAGTCCTAGCGGCCTCCCACAAACATGCTCTAACTCTGGTGCAAATGGACGCACACATTCCGACCTTGAAAATCATATAAACTAAACTCATAAGAAAAAAAAATTCTAGTATAGTTATGAGTTATATCTACCACTACCACTACCACTATAATCAGCAAAACTACCACTACCACTACCAGGCAGAGTTTCATTTGAAGCATATGAGACTAACATAATGATCAGTTTGTAAGAGCAATTCTCCATTTTGCACAATTCAGAATAAGAAAACACATCAACAATAATAATAATAATATGTTGGTCTCAGTGTCATGCCGGATACTGACACATGACACATGTGAGACACCAGACACATATTTATCAATAACAGTAATACATGTAATGCTCAAGTGATTGTAGCAATAAATATAGGAAATAAAAAACTGCAAACTACTCTCAAGAGATCCTTAAAGCATAAAAAAGAGAATTCATTTTCAATAACTCAATCTAGCGAACTACACTCAAATCATTAGCACACAACAACCCTACTAAAATTCAAATATCCAAAGTAAATATCCACAAAAACTATAGTCTCAATTCAATGGCTAATACCTATTAGAACTTGTGACAGCAAATTCAGTCCAACCACGTTCCACTCCTTCCCATTTCAGAATCCGACCATCAGCAACTCCGGTGTACGGACCTTCACCGTGACTATCAAAAACAAGACTCTCCGGACCAACGGCTCCGGTGACGTGGAGCAACTGAGCAGCATGGAGGTGGTCCTTGGATCCAGGAATGGGAAGCGGTGTAAAGAGGTTTTGTGGGTTGAATAAGGTGAAGATAACGGCGAAGAGTGCGAGGAAAGTTGCGGCGGCGATTAGCGTGGAGTTCATGACGAAGAAGATAAAGCTGAGGAAAAGGAAAAGTGGTACCGAACTTTGGAAAGTCAGGAAGTGAAAGAGATAGTGTGGCTTGTTACTGTTTTGGTTTGAAACGTGCGTGATCAGCGTCCACGAGACGGTCTTACCGAGAATTTTTTTTTTATTTTTATAAATAGTTTAATGATGAGAATTGTTTTTCAACGTCCCTACATTTAATATTTCTGCACGGCGGGCTATCAATAAAATAAATTGACACATTTTTGCATTGGAATGTATTTGTTGTTAACAATTTTATAAGAATTTTTTACTACTTCTGATTTTATAGCCACTATCGAGGATGCATATGCATCACTTGCATTAGAATTATATATATATATATATATATATATATATATATATATATATATATATATATATATATATATATATATATATATATATATATATATATATATATATATATATATATATATATATATATATATATATATGTGTGTGTGCTATTATGAGTGTCGCTTTAGTTAAAAAGATCAAAGCATGTGTCACTTTGTGTGGTAATTTTTCTTGTCGTCCATTTTTTTAAAAAGTTGTTAGTTTAGTAAATTATTTGAAAAGATAGTATTTTGATATTTATTTTGAAAAAAAGTGATTATTAAAAAAAATCAAACTTGATAATTGTCGACATAGATTTATTCATTTTTATCTTTATATTTTTTCACAATATTTTATTTATTCATTTTTTATAATATAATTTTGAAATTAGGGTAATAGATAAAAAAAAATTAAGAGTTATAGTTAATTTTGTATGAAAAAATAAAATAAGCATAATTTTATAAAAGTTATTCTTCATCAATAATATAAAAAATTTAAAAAGTAATAAATAATTAAAAATGTAGTAGAGAAAGATTTTATACCCTAAATTAAAGCATTCGACGACATCAAAGTGTATTAGTCGAACTCTCTTATGTTACTTTCTCCTATACGAAACAAGAGCATGAAATTATACATCTCTACATCGGATTTGACAGTAAATAGTATGCTAGTCCAGAAAGATGATGATGGCGTCGAAAGAGGCATATATTATGTTAGTCGCATGTTAATTGATGTAGAAGCTAGGAATAACTCGACAAAAAAGTTGTGCCTATCTTTATATTTTTCATGTATGAAGTTGAAATATTATATAAAATTGGCTGATGTATTTGTTTATTCACATTTTGACATTATAAAACACATGATTTCGAAACCAATTCTACATAGTAGAATAGAAAAATGGGTTTTGGCCTTGACGAAATATTCTTTAACATATGCACCGTTGAGAGCCATGAAAGGCCGAGTTGTTGTTGATTTCATAGTAGATCACACAGTGGCAGAAGTAGCACAAAATAATGTCGAGCAATCGACATGGAAGTTATATTTTGACGGTTCTAGTCACACTAAAGGGACCGATGTTAGGATCCTGATTATCTCCCCTCAAGGAATTCCAATCAAATAGAAATTCAAAATTAATGGTCGTTGCTCCAATAATGAGACCGAATATGACAAGCCTTTATAACTGACATTTCTATTTTGTTAGACATGGGGGCAACAAGGGTCGAGATTAAGGGAGATTCAGAACTAGTGGTGAGACAATTAATAAAAGAATATAACTGCATTAATGATAATTTACTAATGTATTTTGTCAATGCAAACTCATTTTTATAGAAGTTAGAAATGGTTGACATCAAACATGTGTCAAGCATTGAAAATCAGAAGGTCAATGATTTGGTCCAGATTACGTCAAGGTATCGAGTATCAAAAGAAAGATTGGAAGAACTAATTGAAGTAAGAGACAAGTTGATCTCAAACAGTGTCTTGGCTCCAGAATTGTCAAAGACGAAACGGGCGGGGGTAGAAGAATTAGGGGACCTAAATCACAAATTTTTTGAAACTTTTGTCATTGATAATTTGCCGAATGACGACCGGAGGAAATAAATCATAGATTTCTTGAAAGATCCAATGGGTGTAGATCGAAAGATCAGATACATGGATTTAAGTTACGTGATCATGGGAAATGAGTTGTTTAAAAAGACTCTTGAATGAGTTTTCCTTAAATGCCTGAGTGAAAGTGAAACCTACTTGGCAATATTTAGTGCACATAATGGATCACATGAACCTCATAAAACAGGCCACAAAATGAAGTGGTTATTATTCGACAGGGAGTCTATTGGCCCACCATGTTGAAAGACTGCATATAGTTTGCTAAAGGA